TTTCAACATCTTGCCTTTCAAATATGACAATACATTAACAAGATTATGGGAAGATATATTATCCTGCATTACCATGTGAACAAAGCAAAAATGATATTCCCTTCAGAAAGGAAGCTGTTAAAAGCCCCCATTACACCAGAAACAGAACCATGAACAATGAGTTAATGACTAGGTAAAATATAAAAGACATTTTCAGTTAGGTGATGAAAGGTCCTATTAACATAGATGTTTTTAATGAGCTATTTTAACTTATACCTGGCATTTCTCAGCTTAGATCTCTTTTAGATCTTCTGGTTATTTCTCTCTGGTTCTCTACAAACTCTTGGATCTAAACCTTCATTTGTTCACATTTCTTGGCTGTGGCTATTATTAGAACACCAAAATACTTCATTTAACTTGGAAATTGCATGTGTCATTATGTCTGAAACCTCCTATCTTCCAAACAAATAAGTGGGTTATGTTGGTGTCCTTGGAATTCTTTCACATCTTTTCTGTTGTGGAGACAGAGCAGGGGAGGGAGCAACCAGAAAGGAGCACAGCCTCCCATGTGTGGATCATAGATACAGCACTAATGGACATAATAATTATGTAAACACAATAACACTGTTCACTGTTCCTTTTCCAATAACTCCTAGCATGCTGCTTGTTTTATTCATTGGTACTACACAGTGAACTGACACTCTTGAGAGGAAAACTAGTTTACAGCTCACCACCCTGTATGCAAAATTAGAATTATTTCCCCCCATATGCATTACTTCACTATTTATACACACAGATTTTTACCTGCCATTAATTTTTCCAACCAGTCACTCACTAATGGGAGATCCTTCTCTGCAATCTGTCTTGGTTTCAGCGAGATCCTTCTCTGCAATCTGTTTTGGTTTCAACTCCTTGAATAACCTGTTAGAAGCTGCAACCTTTTATAAATTTTCCTTTCTCGGATCATTGATGGTATCTGTTGAGCAGCAGATACCCTAGCAGCACAATCATCCTGTGAAACCGCACCACTGGCTCCTCACCCTGTCAGAACTGTCTGTTCATTTCTGCCCTTTGTTTCCTTCCTTTAGCCAATTATTTATCCATGGAGACTCTCACTCCTGATCTCATGACAGGTCAGTTTTTCCAGGAGCCCTTGGTCAGAGACCTGTTGAATCCTTTTCAAATCAGAGCAGATAACACCAGGATCTCTCCCTGACTCCTCTGCAGAGCTGCAGCAATCTGTGAAACACAACTTCTGTTTACAGAAACCGCATTAACTCTTCTGCAACATAACATATTTATCTTTGTGTTGACTAACCCTATTCTTTGCTGTTGTTTCCTCCAAATGGTCTGTTAGGGTGTCTATTTCCCATCTGAATTCCTTCACAAGCCATGGATGATTACTGCCTGGTCCTGGCAATCTGATGCTCCACATTTTGTTGATTTAATTCTCTCCTTTCCCACCGACACTGGGAGTTAATTCAGCTCCTGTGACACTTTCCCCCACCCCTCATTTTCCCAGCAGAGTTCTGGCAGACAACATCCAGAGTATTTTCTGTCAGCAGTACCAGCAGATTTGTGCTCACAGAATCACCCTGTAGAGTCTTATCTGGTGCATCCCACACACTTGGATAAACACACAAGACCTCCCCAGTACAGACAAAACTAAATCTGGGTGCTCAAAAATCTAAGCCCAATAATAAAATTCAAGGTGAATATTACTCCTGGCTTTGGCACAAGCAGGACAGCACTGGTGGGAGAAGCCTAAAGCCATGGAGGCTTTGTCATGCAGATCCCAGCTCAGTTCTTTGCACCAGCTCCATCTCACAAAGTTTGTCTGTTTTCAGCAGAGCACCTACTGCAAAATAACACTGAGCAGACTGTATATTAAAAAGCCATCCCACGCATATTTATAACTAATTTATTCTTCATTTCTTCTGTGTTGAATAACTAAATTACAACAGTGGCTCAGTAACCCCTTTTAGTTTAGGAAAGGGCAGCAGCTTCATTTGAGTAATATTTTAGCCCAATTAGTCCATTAGTCTCCAGTGGAGACCAGAGGAGAATGGAAACCAGTGAAACAGGAGTCCTGCAGGATTCCTTTTAAGTAACAGACCTCTGACTCATCTGATATCATCTGGCAGCCCTCGTGATCCCTTCAAAGATATTTCCAATTTTCCCAGTGTTCCGCAGAGACACGAAGCAGGCGTGTGCAAGGAAGGAGCAATGCATTAGCATAGGCCGCCATGGGTAAATCAGCCTTATAAAGGAGTTTCCAACTCCTCATGTGCTCAAGGAGCTTCAAAGTCTCCGAGAATTTTGGCTTCTGCTTTTTCCCAAACCCTGCAGAGTATGGGTTAGTCACAAAGCAGCACCTTGCCTTTGCTCAGGGATGTTGTCTGAGTGGCCAAGCTGGATGTAGCTCTGGTGTTACACACATTTAATGAAAACTCTGTTTTTACATAGAATTAGTGAAAAAGTGGCTGAAATAAGACACACAATTTACTATCTGGAAAAGAAAAATAACTATTTGAAGGCTTGTTTTAGACTCCTTGCCTTGTAATACATATATGGCAGCTAGAAGGTAGGAAAAATACAAACACTCAAGATGAAGAATCTGAAGGACTTTCCTGGCTCTGTCTAACTGACAATCTGAAACTTTCAGTGACAATTACCAATTTAGTGACAAGTTTCAGTCAATTACCCCTTCAATGAATGCAGAGAAAGCATCCAAGAAATCCAGCACCTAAGGCAGGGAAAATGCTTCATGTACATATCTGTATTCAGGAAAAACAAGCTTTAATTATTAGCTTAGCTTAAGCGCCTGGAAGAGATTTCCTGGACCAATGAGAGATATGATACTTGTGACAAAAATGACATTTCAGTATCACACCAGAAGGCCTCTTCATTTCTGCCACCTTACAGCACCATAAACATGAGAGCAGGAATGTTTTCTGTCAGTCCAGGGAAGAACTCAAGGTCCCTGGAAGCTGAGGCAAAGAGAAGAATCATCCTCAGCAAGATTTGGAGTATGGTCACCAACCCCAAACACATCACTGAAAACATTTATGGAGCCCAAGCCCTCTTCTCTTTGAAAGGAACCGTAAGCCTTGGCATGAGCATGCAGGTGTGCATGTGGTCTCACCCACATTAAACTGCAAGTTTAATACTCCAGGATTGCCCTTTATACTATAATTTCAGAATATTTTTCTACAAGCAAGTCTCCATATGCATAAGGCTGTAGGCACACCGACACTGCTACCAGCACTGAGATAACAAATTCAAGGCTTGCAGGAAAATGCCATTTCAGCACAGTGACTGAAGAGGGGTCGTTCTCCAGCTCTGTGCTTTGGTTTAAGTTTATACACAGAGCTTAAACCACCAGTCACTGGCAAAAGGCTGCATTTCACAATAGGAATGAATTTCCAGCTGCCCTCATCTTTTATCTCTATCATTCAATTCTGTGACCTATCTTCTCATCTGAACAAATGTGAGGTCTTTTGCAAATATATATAGCACATATACAAGCACTGAAAAAAAACTGAGCTAGTGTGAGGAAGAGCTTATAGTCTCCCAAATAAAAATCATCATTGTTAAAATAAAGCATCAAGCAGGCTGATGCCAATGCACGAAAGATGGGACGCTGATTTTGTAACTCTCACTCAGAAGAAATGCTAGTTTTAAACTGCATGATACTGAATTTGTCTGTCTCATAGGGCTGAAAGGCTAAGTCTGTTCTGATGGGATTTGAGTCGGAGATTTTCATGGAGATTTTCATTTATTTTATAAACAAACTTATTTATGAATCACAAATAGCATTTCTGCTGGATGTTTTTGATTTTTTTTCCTTATGTTGCTGTTTGCATTTCAAATAATGAGATAAAGAGCAACTCTACAAATAAAGCCATTGTTAAAACTTTCATTTTTGAAGTACTCACAACCCTGAACTGCGTGTGAAGTTTCTCCCCAGCTGCCTAACTTCAGGTGACAGCAAGAGAGGGAGAAAACACTCAGCCCTCATCTCCCATTCACCCAGCAGCCCCTGAACAAGGGCTCTGAAGAACAGGAGCACAAATCCCACCCCAGCCATCATCCAGAGAGTGCAGCTCCCCACAGCAGAGCTCTGCACATCTCTGACAGAAACACGTGTAGAGAGCACAGCTTCCATTTGAACTTCCTTCAAGAACTTGACCCATAAGCTGGGAAATCTGTGCCTGCCTCTGCCACTGCTATCGTCACAGACAATGAAACCTGATGTTTTGTCATCATTAAAATGGTGCAACGCTATCCTTATCTGTCACTGCTCATCCCAAAGAAATGCAAAGCATTCCCAGGATGGTGTGTAAGTTATCATGGCACAAAGATGAGGAGAGGATGCTGCTCTTCACCAGAGAGCTGCTGCAGACGGCAGGAACAGGTAACATTTCATAGCAGGCAGAGCAATTAAGGTAGGCAGATGACAGTCTGGAAATTGAGATACCATGCTAAAATTAATTTGTGGCACTACAAAAGCTGTAAAGATCACAAACAGGATTACAAAAAAAATCTGCTGCTCAGTTGTATGCATCTCATATTAATACTCAGATTGCATAACAATAACCCTCTAATTTGTAATATGCCAATAGCATTGGCCAATATGCCAATATGAATAGCTGCAGAAAAACTTTTTTTCAGTATTCTTTGTAGAGTTATGGAAATCTATAATAATATCATTTTCCCTTATTACAAAAGACTGTTTAATAGATAATTTCTTGATTTTTTTATTCCACAATGGAGTCTTATCTTTCCTCTCAGGAAACACAGCACAACATGAACATTGGGCATTGTGCAGTTTCATCTCACCTGAGAGCTTCTCAAGAGGAAAACCTCAGGACTATTTTGCTGCCACCATTTGGCTGGGCAGTATTTCAGGGCCATGGGTGTGGTATCCCAGCTCCTCCTGAGGATATCTCCTGATTTATGGCAGCAGGTAGCTGGACAACAGCAACAGCTCAATGGAATTACACTTAAATATAACTTACAGTCTCCTCCTGCATACACAGAATGGAAGTGAATAACAGGAACACAGGTTGCCTGAGAACCAGTGTTTCTTACAGACATGGGAGCTGCCTCACACAAGTTTCTGTATCTCCATGGAGGAAGGCAGCGCACCTGAGAGGGACACAGCAATTAACAACGGGAGATAATGACCCAACCTGCACATTGGGCTGGCATGGGAACAAATGGCTGTGAGAGGCGAGCAGGCACACTAAGGCACACCAATCCCTGTATCAATAAAGGGCCTGAAATCAGATTAATTTCTGCACAATTAACAAGGCTGCTGAAAGATCTGCTCTACAGCTGCCGCCGCTGCCAGGAGATGATGACAACTGAGGAAATGAAAATCAAAGGAGGAAACAATTACAACAATACTCGCTGAAACTATTTAGAGTTCTCTTAATAAGTCAGCGAAACAAGTAATTGAAAGAATGTATTTTATTGCTGATTAAGATAATAGTTAATTTAGGTCTTGTTTTTAAAAAGAGCTCAAATTAACAAATCAGGTCTTTCATCTGAGTGCAAGTGAGAGCTCCATGCATTCTCCTCATATCACAGAGTCTGGAGATGCAGAGTGTGCTCTGGGAGAGAACAAAGATGGGAAGGAGGTAGGAGATATTTAGGGAGAGGGGCCAGTTGAAAAGAGTAAAGTGCCAAAATACTCATATATAATATATATTCTATATTCTATAATATATATTCTATAACATATATTTTATATTCTATGATATAGAATAAAGAATAAAGAATATAAATAAAGAATATTAATATATAATATATAATATATAATATATAATATATAATATATAATATACTTTTGCTCATTCAAATCTAGCAGCACAGCAGTAACTACACCTTGCTTTTCTGCACATTAAGTTAAATTAGCATTCTCCCACTCTCCAACTACCACACAAGTGGTAATGCTAAACCTTAGCCTGACATCTAAACTTGTGGAACTTTAAAATAAAATGTTCTGCAAGCAGAAACATTGCTAGCTTCTTCTTGAAACAGCAACAACAAAATCCATAAATCTTTTTCTTTTCTCTAAATTCATAGAGCCATTATGTCACATCTCTGGATATTATCATTGAGAGATAAGGAAAAACAAAACAGGTAGAAAAATATGTTTGCTGTGCCTGTTATTTCTTTGAAACTAAGTGGAGTAGCTCAGTTAGCTGCCAGATTGCAAGAACAATGGGAGCCACTGCAAGTTTTTCCTTAAATTTCAAATCCTACACCAATATCTTTCTCTTTTTTTTTTTCCTGAAGGATGAAATAAAATAAAAGCTGAAATGTAAAGAGGACTTTCAGGTTTGATAAAGAAAGGTAGGATTAATAAAAAAAGATGAGGATGGGCTTTTAAACACTATGTTATAACCTGATAGTGTTCTGAAAAACTCAGACATATAAAAGTTAATCATAAAAATACTGGCAAACTTGCCTTTGAAGGGGAAGGCAGCAAAAAATTACAGAACATCAGAGCTCGGAGGGAAGGGTAGAAAACACTGGAAAAGGGTTAAAATGACTAAGATTAAGAAGGTGCATGACAACCACTCTCAAAGCCCTGATCTGTGCTAACAAAACCATATCCTCTGCTTTTGATGAGACACTCACAAATGATTTAGCAAGAGGTGCTTTTGAATTATACCAGTGCTTTTTTGGCAATAAAATGTCCTTTTTTTTGAGTTTTCATTTTTATCTGCCCTAAGCTGAAAACATCTTTGCTAGAAAATAATAACCAGGTTGAAAGTATTTTTTTAAAGCAAAATTTCTCTAAAAGGGAGCTTATTGCAAATTTTAGCAAAAATTGATTAAAATAACATTAAGAATTCAGGAAATACTAAATCTAAGAAATCAAAAATGATGCAAAAGAGGCTCCAGATTTCAAGCCCCTTAAATCAAGACAGCAAGGCTTGGATTTCAAGGAGCTATGAAGCTTATGAAGGCAAAAGTTCTGCATTTACCTTCTGGTAAAACTAGGTGATTTCTCTGCTTTTTCTTTTTTGTATGTGTGCTTTAAAGTAGCTGCTTTAGAATATAAAAATACCTATCTTAAGCTGTGTGTAATTAAAATTCAGACTGTCTTTGACATATAAGCTTCAGTCAATTTACAGTTAATTGCTCTAAGGTCTGTCCTCCAGTGCCAGCTGGGCTACTCCAAAGCCTGAGCTCCCTTTGGGAAATTGCCTGATCCACAAAAGTCACTTTGCACCCTACAAAAGTGTAAAACTTGCCCTTCTCAGGGAGAACAAAGTGATGGCTTTGCTGGTTATTGTCAGGAAACCCCCAAACCATCCACTTCTGTATGATGGGAAGGAAAAGAAGAGTGGGGAATGCTGTGGGATCAACAGAACCCCATGGCAGCCCCACTGCAGTCCTACCTCACACCACCACTGAACACACTGCATGATTCCAAGGAAAACAGTATATTTTACACCATATTTTACAATATATTTTACAAATTTATATCATATGTTACACATTTACAAAATATTTTACACCAGCACCACCAAATTCCTAATCCAAAGCTCTGTGGCACTGACAGCAAAGCTCCCATTTCTCTTTGCCATCCTTAATTTGACACCAAACTGTTGCTTGGTAGTTGCTGTCTTCAAGAAATGCCTTTTGCCCTGAAGAAAATACACACCTGAGTGATATTCAGGTCCCACATCTGAAACCAAACCTGCACATACAGCAAAGTGTTCCAGATTTCCATCTGCCCGGTATCCTTGAAAGAGGAAGGTGTGTGATACTCTCATTCCTACACTAGAATATCTATCTAGAGAAATGTCTTTTAAGTTATTAGAAATATTGTTGCAGCCCACTCACTTTCTGGTATCCTGAATCCTTTTCCTCTATTTCAAAGGACTGTTAAGTTTGAAATTCCAATTCAAGTTGAAAACAGCTCAAATCAAATGAACAGGGACTAGCTCAGACTGAAATCAGAAGAAAGAATTCACTGGAGTTAACAAGGACTTCAATTAACAGAGGATACAGGAAGTTCAGAATGAGTGAAAAAACACACAAGACAGACAAACATACCCTAACCATAAACCTAAACCAGCAACCTTTAGGACATTACCTGTTTGGGTAATTTCTGGGAATTAAATCATCCTCAGCACCTCTAAAGGTCAAAGCACCAGCAAGATACAAATGGCACATTCAAGGGCAAAAACAGCTAGCAGGAACCAACGTTTTTCATGGAAATACTCATGACTGATGGCTCTCTGCTCCTCAACCACACCTGGAGCAGCACCAGTCTGGGACCATCCTGTGCCCAAGACTGGCACAGCCCCACAATGTGCAAGGACCTCGAGGCTGAATGCACAGGTTTTGCATCACAGAAATGATGTTTTAAGAGAAGTTGGTAACAGTTTACTCTGTGTCTGACAAAAAGAATAAAAAAAAAAATCTCAAATCTTAAAAAACGCTCAAAAGTCACCGAGCTTTGATTAGGTGAAGCCATTTAACAAAGAGTAGCTCTCTCTCAAATTAGTGAACCAAACCCACTACAACAGGGGCCCACCAGCTGTGGCCAAAATGTCCTTTAGCTGTGCAGGACACAGCTGGAACGTGAGGAGTAATATCTGTATACAGCTTTGCACCCACAGAGCCCAGTTTGGAGAGGTGGCACAGTGAGGGCCACAGGACAACCTGCTCCATTTTCTCCAGCCTTCTGCTCTGTTTGACCCTAAGATGGGTCTTTATCCACTCCACAGAAAATCGGCACTGAGTACTTTCAGAGAAATGAGCTGGTTTTGATCCAGGCTTGCTAATTTTAAGCTGGTTTTGACCACTTTGCAGAGTTTTCTGCCACCAGCACAGCCCACCCTGCCACAGAGACGAGTGAGATGCGCCCACCAGGCCGAACAAAGAAATCCCAGTAACTCCTGCTCATTACACTGCAAGAGATGTTGCCCCAGGAAAGGAACGGTGAGCCATGGAATGGCTCATTGCCTGTGCACCAAAGGTGTTGGTATACACCAATGCTTTTGGTGGGTCAACACTATCAAGTAAAATAATTAGCAGCAAGATACTGGATCTTCCATCTCTCTGGATGCACTGCATGCAGCTCTCCCGAGAGAAGCTGCAACCATCAGACACAAAGAAATTAGGAGTCAAAGGAAAACTGAAGAAAAAAAAAAAAAGAAAAAAAATGTGGAGGATTTCTTTCAAAAAAATTGTACAGCATAATTGTTTTATTAATTGTGAAACGAGAAGACATATTAAGCACCGTGTGGCCTGGGAGTGAGAAATTCAAGAGTATCTTCTGTATTTAGGGAGATAAAGAGGAGATGACTACGGTGTGAAATCAGGAGGAATAAGAAACTGGCTTCCCCTTTTAAGAGCAGCATCAATTAAACCCAGGGGAGGCGGGTGCAGTTTACTAGTTAATTAGTCCAGGGATGTGGTCCTTTCATGTGTAATTCAGAACAGGAACACCTGGTGTGCGGCACTTCAAAGCACGGGGGAGGAAAAAAGCCAAACAATGCAGGATAGGTCACAAAAGAAAGCAACAGCACAAGAACAAAAACTGTTTATATCTGACCTTCACCCTGCTGTAAATAAAGCAAGACGGCAGGGCCCCCTCCTCCCCGCCCGGGGAGAACAAACAGCTCTGGGCGCACAGGGGGACTCAGAGAAAGAGAGGGAGAGGGGGAAGAGAGAGACATGGTGGTAACTAATTGTTTTACAACCTAATTAAAAGGAAAACAGACAGCACGATATAGATAGGGATATAATGATTTTAATCACGTTCTGATATGCAGAACCAGAAAAGAAGGGGAAGGGAAGCGCGGTCCTCCGGCGGTGGGAGGCTGGAGAAATGCTACCTGTGGGCAGGGAAACATGGGCAGGTTTGGGGCACCGAGCTCCCAACAGGGCCTGCACCCCAAGGTTTGTGACTGCAGAAGAATCTGGGTCAGGCTAGAAAGCCGCAGACCAGGAAGGAGTCGTGATGTACACACCTGCCCTCCAAACCCAATTCCAGCACGCTCCAAAGTTTCCCCATCCCTGCCATTGCCCAGAGAACTCTTCAGCAGCAAGCCTGAATCACGCTGAAACTGGAAGCAGATGCAGTGTGATAAAACTTTTACAGTGCTTTATCTCATCAA